TGTTACCGAACAAACCTATATTGTACGTGTCAGGAAAACTGATGTTATCTGGAGGAAATTCAAACGAGTCCCCTGGTTTCAGGTATCTTAGTTCTTCGCGCATGTTTTTAATCCGTTGCTTTTTATCCATTGTCGTCCCTTTTCTTCCTCTTACTCGCCCTTCTTCCTTTCTTCTTTTACTTCTTCGACGTGTTGCATTTTCTTTCGCTCCTCTTCAGTAAGGATCCGCTCCGGCTCGGCTTTATGTAGGGTTGCTTCGGCATCTATGAATTGTAGGCCTGCTCTTTCTTGTTCAGCTCTCTTTGTTCAGCTTTCGTTATGTTTTAATCCTTTTTCTTTATCATTCTGAAGGCGGGCCTCCTGTATCTTTGTCATTATATTGTACGCTTTTTTTCGCATCACACATTTGTTTCTTCTTTCTAGTGCTTTGCTTCTAAACTCCGCATGTGTTCGTTTTTTGTTTGGCCTCAAGACGAACTTGCTCAGGATTTATTTCATATTCTGCTTTGTTTTCCTTTCTGTTCTTGTCGTCGCGAATGGTGACGTATTTCATCGTCTTTTTTACTTTTTTTTTCGATTTCCATTTGCAATGATTCAGGTCATTAGTTTGACGATGCTGTTCCTTTATTACTTTTGCTGTAGCCGCGTACGTTCCTTTTTCCCCTCTCAAGGAATTATTCCATTCTACTTCCTTATCACAAAAATGTTTTTTTTCTTCAAGATTTCTCTTTCTTCGTGTGCTGTTCTCCTATCAGAGGATACATTCGACAATTTCTTCTTCAAATAATCAAGTTCACTCTTTTTGTTACCAATCGCGAATAACTGGAGTAGAAAATATTCTTCAGGCAACTGGTAAGCAAAGGTTGAATGAGCATTCGACGAGGCTGAGCCAATATACATATGGATTTTATTTCGCTGTTCTCGATTCCTATTGGCGAAGTATGTTTACTCAGACCCGAAGCTATACACGATTCTTGCTACCAATCTGTCGTGACATCTCATAGTAGCGACAGAAGTTCATCGTCACAACCTCGAATAACGGTTATCTGAGCTTCATTAAAAACAGGCATGGCTTCCCGAAAGAGTTTCATCAATTTAGGAGTTTTGTGTCTCGAACCAGATGAAACCATTGAAGGAAATTTGATTCCTTTGTTAAATACTCGTAATACAAATTCAGAATTCATCAAATTATTACCTGAAGACCTTCGTACATACAACCCACCAAGTAATTTAGATGCGGGGATTCTTTTACACCCGTACACCTAAGGCAGGCTCTCTCTTACAGATGTCACTGATGCGAGATATACGACTCTGCTGCCTACCCTCAATGCACGCTATGGTGAGTTTTTCTGATTTCCCCCAAAATCACAATTGCATTGAACATAGATATTTAAATAAATATCATCTTTCTGATTATGGTTTTGAATAATGAGGAGTCTGTTATTATATTGAGCGGTATAATGTATTCAACATGGAAAACGAAGAAATAAAGTGTAACATGGGTCATAAAAAATAAAAATAAACGAAAACAATAACTAGACTGAATTAATATTGAAAACAAAAACAAATAACATATTTGATTTACAAATATTTTGGCCAGGTTTTTCAGTTTTCATAATGATAAAATGACTTCAACGGAAAATCGGTCATTCATGGCAGCGCTGTTGATCATTTTACAGCTGAATACCTGTTGTTTACCCTCACACATGTCGCATGCCTGATCTTTTTGTGAAGGTCTTTCTGTTTAAGCCAGCAAGTAGGGCTCAATCTGGCAATTGTGTATGGTGGCCCAGAAGGGACATCGCGAATCATAATTTTTTTCCTTTGAAATTCGCGACAAAATATGCGACACGGCGAATATTAGGTTGAGAATTTGGTCTTGAATTTGTATTTTCCTTGCTTAAGCGGTAATACAAGGCTAAATATGTTTTTCACAAACCCATGCGGAGATTTAGGTAACCCATTCAAAGTCCATCAAAGTGTGGAATCACCAATTTAGTAAATGTAAAAATCGGGTCGTGCACATACAACCGCTATACTACACTCTTAATTTTAGCGAGTAAATTGTGCCGAGTAAAACAAGATAAGTAACAAATGAGCAATTCAGTACTGGGCCCCGTCTTACAAAGCTTGATATTGATATCAATATCAAGTATCAATATCAGCTTTGATTGATATCATCTTGCAATTAATCGCAGGATTCCGTCTTACTAATAATTGTAATATCAATATCAACTTGCGATCGATTTTAATAATTGTATAACACTGATCGAGCCTAAATCACGTGATCTGCGATAAATTTGTCGTCTGCGCTAGCTTTTATAGCGCGCCCAGCCTGCAACATAAATCTGTTCCGTTCTTGTTGTGATCTGTGCTGAAGTAAGCACCTCCTTTAATTTGACAATATTTCGATTTTTATTGTATGTAATTAAAAGTGGATATTTTCAGTGAAAATGTAATGTTCGCATACTATTGACTGAATTTGAAATTATAAAGCGAACTGTTTTTGTAATGTTTCTTAACTTGAAAATACGTAAAATTTGTACTGGCGATCGCAGAAGTGTATGCGGTAAGAACTGTGTCATGTCCCCAGAGCTGCGGGGGTGATGCCAGTCTCTCGATCGCTCGCAGAGATATTGTGCGGTGACTTGACGGTGTATTTTTGTCTTGTCTTTCCGCGGCGCGGCGAGCTAAAAAAAGTTTTAAAAAACTAGGTCTACAAATGTGGCACGTGATAAACTATTCCCACATATGACGAACCTTACTTGTAAATTACTTTTGGTGTTTGCTGCAGGATATTTGATTTTGAATTTGATGCGGCACGTCATTGACTTAACTTTTTTCTTTGATTTTAATCATTCAAATTTCAATGTCATGATTGTCGCCTTTGTCGGTGAATAAAATAAAACTAACCAAACACTTTCGAAATAGGTCCTAGTCATTTCTTAAATAAATTTAGAACTAGACTGTCTAGGTCTAACTTAGATCTAGAACTAGAAGTCTAACAAAGTTAGATCTAGAGTCTATCCTATAGATCTACATGTAGGTCTAGCTCTAACGTTAGATCTAGACTACTCTAACTTGTTACTCCAGCGATTTTCAAACCATTTAATTTATTCAAGCTACGGTCACAAAGGTTCGTACGAATCTCCCTGTTTTTCCATTGTCTTCTTGAATTTCCATTGTTTGAAAATCGTTTGTACAGCGTTCGTAGCAGTTTGTAATGTCATTTGTGACCGTAGACAGAAATAACCGTTTGATATTAGATCTAGACTAGACCTGGGTCATTTCTTTAATAAAACTGACATTTGTTGACATTCGTTTGTAATGTCATTTGTGACCGTAGACAGAAATAACCGTTTGATATTAGTCTATGGGTCATTTCTTTAATAAAACTGACATTTGTTGACATTCCATCAGAGGAGCCAGATCGGCAGATGCAATCTCAGCGGAACAACCGTCGATATCAGAGACTGAACTTGTCTGAAGCTTTCGGTCTATTGAGACCGAGGCTTTACTGAGCTTTGACTAGAGTCTAGGCCTAGTCTCATCATAGTTATACTAGGTCTAGATCTAGGCCTAGAATAGATTCTACTAGAAGTCTAGACCATAGCCTAGATCTATATTATATTATCAGGGTGTCTAACTTTTTAGAGCCTTAGAGGTTCTAAATGATTTTTCAATTTTCAATTTAGAAGTCTAGGATCGTTTTTCACCATTTTTGTTGGATATTTGAATAAAAAATGTAATCAGAATAGATCTAGATCATTTTGTTTAGAATGGACAAAAAAGGGGTTCACGCCAAGTTATCATTTTTTGCTAAACAGCTGCATTCTAAATTTCTAATGCATTAGGCGATAATATGCAAATGGTGGGGGAAGGGTATTTTCAAACTTAAATCGCATGTGATCCCTTGGGGCTAGCGGGAAAAAAAAAGAACATCAACATATTCCTTACGCCTTGAACTAATTATCCCTCGGGGGGGGGGGGGGGTCGATTCTCAAAAGCGGGAAATCTACCGAGTCGCCATGGAAACATTTAAATTGCTGTTTCGACAAGATATTTTTAGAAATCTGAAATGACACCCCTTTGGAAATATGGGGATTAACCTGTCCTTTCATATGACACCTCATTTATTTAGTATCACCTTCAGGATCACAACAGATAAAGGTTTGAATCTAAATTTATTTTTAAAAACGTTGACCAATTTTGCAATGCACATAGACTGCATAGGGATGTGTTCAATGTCTATGGGAAGGGTTTCAGCACACAAAGCCTGGTGCGCGATCAGACACCTTAATATTATTTTGACATAGGGTCGGGTCTAGTCTAGTCTAGATCTAGAACTTTAACTTACATTTAGCGCATGCGCAAATCATTCAACCGATCTTGGCAAATAGCAGCCTTGGTCAATCACACCCCTCTCCCCTCCCGTAATCATTCTGTGTGAAAATTTAACTTCCAGTTTGATATGAGTTTGAGCATAACTATGTTTGCTATCAAATCTTAAGAATGGTTGTATCTGGTATTTTCATGCTGTTTTCTTTTCACGTCTCCCCTTTTCAGTCTAGCAGTGGTATGTCGGAACAGCCTCAAACAGCAAAAATGATTAGTAATAGTAGATTGTGTTTACATTATTTAAACATTGATTTTGACAATTTTAAAAATAACACTCTGGGAAGCAAAAAGCGAACCTTGGGTCTCTTCTCCTGGTATAACTACATTGATGATGTCTATTTAGATTTAATGAAGGCCTTTGATAAGGTACCGACAGCTTTTAGCCAAACTTTAGGGGATTCGCTGATGGAACAAAGTTTTTTTTCATGTGCCATTAATAGTACATTGAGTTCATAATTTTTATTCCTAAGAGTATTAAAGAATGGAACAATTTTATTATCAAAGAACAATGGTGTAAATATGTTTTATAGTCACATTATATCAATGTTCCTCTATGTATTCATAGGCAAATATGCAGTACAAAAGTGTTTCTAGTGTGACAAAAATTGTGTAGCATTATGTTTCATGTTGTTTCAATTAAATGATAATTAATAAAATTGCATGCATTTGTAGTATTCACTCACTGTTTAAATAATGTTATTTTCACTTACATCTTGTTTTCAGGGAAGGAAACCAAACTGGACCCACGAGGAGGTTGTGGTCATGTGCGACTTCGTGAAACAGCACAGAGAAAAGCTCTTTGGTCGAGCAGGACATTGCTCCGCGAAGGTACGTTAACTAAACACCTCAAAAGAAATTTTGGAAACTAAAGTATGATATATTATGTTTCTCTTAATCATGGCATAATCGTTCCCTATGTTTAGTAGATCTATACATGTACATGTAATTAGAAAGTGTTTTTTTAATATATTTTTTTTTAATGAGACCCTCATTGTGTTGATTTTTCAGTCATGGAATGTGCAGTAGATCAAAATAAGAGTCAAGGTCAAGTGAAGATCCACTGCTCTTTTTCAACTGTGCATTCAAAACACACTTTAGTTTCCAGGCTTTTTTTCAGTGGTTAATTTTATTGGGGGGGGGGGGGGAGGGGGGGGGGTGGGAAGGGTGGGTGTATATACTTTTTTAAAATTTATTTATTATGATATTTTTTGTTAAAATAGCATTAGAAAACCATGAAATTTAAACAACAAATGCCTGCTGTGATAAGAAAAAACTTGTGTAGACTTTGATTAGAATTTTCTTTTTTCCATCAGTTACTTCGTTTTTATTGGCTTCTTTACATGTACCGGTATTCTTTTTCTTTAAAGTTGATACTTATAGGAAATAAAATCAATTAAGTATAGATTATTTTATAATTGAATGAGTTATTAAAGCAATTTATGCAGCTAACATGCCATGAAAGTGTGCAATTTAGTGATTCTGATGACAATAGGGCAAATTTGTCCCAGAGAAGGGAGATGTTTTCACCCAAAGTTCGCTTTTACGGAAGTGTTATATTGATTGAATGTCATTCAAGGTCATTGTATGGCTTGTAAGCTTTCTGTAGATATGAATACCTTGCTATTTAGAGATCTCCTATGAATATAAACTTTAAAAAAAAAAGGAGAAGATTACTTCTTCATAACAAAGTACAGTGACAAATTTTGACTGCAAACGTTTGTACTGTTCAGGTCGAATCCAGGAAGGCAAAGTACTGGGGGAAGTGTGCGGAGGTGCTAAGGCTCCAGTGCGGGATGGAGAGGAGGGCATCCGATGTAAAGACGAAATGGGCCAACATAAAGGTCAGGGCCAACAAATACCAGAGCCGCAAAAATCGAACAGGTTCGTCTCTACATCCAGCTTCTTATTTTGGGTCTCAAATTCACATTGAGGATTTGATAAAAAATAATATTAAAGACAAAGTATTGAATTGGTATTTTATTTGTAGTATTGATGTTTATTATACATTTTTGTTGTTGTTGAGAAAGTAGAATCGTACATTTGAAAATGACCAAGACCGGTCAACGCCTTCATCACTTTAATTTCTCACATGCTATTTTTAGTTGTATAATCCACTTGTGAGTTACAATAAAGAAAATAAGGAAGGTATGGCCGAAATCATGAAACCAATGCCCGGCTACTATTTATTGTTCTTCACACAGGTGGAGGGCAGGCACCTACCAACAACCCAACTTTCGAGGTGATCCTTGCGGCACAAGCTCCGCAGGCAAGATTTGGAATCATGGGGGAAGAGATTGAAGCTGGATGCAGCCAATCATCAGCGGTAATTTTGCTCCTACAATTAATTCATCCTAGAATATAAACCTTTACACATTATGAATAGCATATTGCTGCAGGCTATTTTGTAAAACGACACGATCAAGCTCGGTCTAAAATGTCTGAAATTTATTATTTCATTATTTATATCATATATATGAGATATATAAATATGTGTACTAATTTGCATTTTGAATAGTTCTTCTTCTTGATCCTCCCCCAGATCCTGTTTGTTTTGCTTGTTTACGATTGCTTACTAGGGCCCTTATTATATTCCAAGTCATTTCGAATTTTGTATACACATTCTTTAGCATTCTTTCATGGTCACTGAACTCTTATGTTTTTCCAAATTAACGTTGTAGCTGTGGTAGCTAGAGTCGTAATAAACCCCCAAATGAATTCAGAGGACACAAGTATCAACTGGAGTTGTCTATAGTCTATCTTTATTACGTTTTCGTATCCATCCTTCAACTCTGCGAAAACTGTATGACAAAGACAGAATTGCAAGAATAATAAGCACATATGCAAATGAATCTGAACCAAACAAGTATGTATATCGATTAGAACTTTGATTGATTACAGCATCATCTACGCAAACAATCTTGGCTATAAAACCCAACATATAGAGATGTTTGCCAATCATTATACTATGTCAAACAATTCATAAGGCTCCTATATGGCTCCTTGTAACTTGGCAGCCTAACTAAATTAAATCAACTCCAACATCAAAAGAAGAATGACTTTTCATAACCCCACATATATGCCTTTCTATGTAAGTAGTAAGTAGAGATTCTTCCTAGCTATCTTCATTCATCTTTGTCCTAAATGATCCCAATTTGAGTTCTTTCATATCTACGATAAATGAAACCTGTCTCATACGGTCATAAGTCGTATATTTCGCACCATATCAGTCATTACTCTTCACCTTATACGATATTTCATAAATGGTTCTACGTCAATTCCTACACAGTTGTATGTTACTTGCAATTGTACATTAACGTATTGTTACATACAGCTAGACTTGGCTTTATATCCAAATTAATCTTCATAATCCTTTACATGACAGCAATTAATTGCAAGAAAACATCAAATATATAAATATACTGACCTTTGTGCCCTTTTGTGAACTGAATATCCCTCAAAATAAGATTTGTGACAAATCAAAACAATCGGTAACAAACCAAACCCAGCTTGCTCCATTGAACTAAAAATCAGCTGCCACTAGATGGCGACAAATTTTTCGAGCAAGTCAACGTCGTCAACAAACGTTGTTGTTTATCCCCCTAATTAGCACTAAAACTTATATGTTCAATGACATTTACGTAAGATTTCTTTTGTTCTTCTTTTGTTCTCAAATATACTTCTAAAACAGAGCACCAGTAATGGAGACGAAACAGCAGAGGCGATGCTAATGGACATGAGTAATCAAGTCGCAGCTCCATCTGACCCTTCCATTGTAGTTGCAAGTTCAAGAACTGCTAGTAGTAGTGCTAGTAGTAGTGCTAGCACTAGTGCTAGCTGTAGTGCTAGTAGTAGTGCTAGCACTAGTGCTAGCTGTAGTGCTAGCAGTAGTGCTAAGCAGAAGTGCTATCCCACAAGTAGCTTCCACACCTTCGAGCACCTCTCAGGGTGATTTTTTAAATATTGAGAGGCAGAGGCTGCTCGTGGAAAGGGAGCTTCTTGAGCTCAAGAGAGAAGAGGTGGGGCTTTTCAGGGAGCTCGTGGGTCTCGTAAGATCCCTAAAAAATAACGAGTCCTAGATTCCCCCACTCTTGTCTCTTGGGCTCATGGGGTGGCATTGTTTAGTTGGAATGTTTTTAAGGAAGTTCTAAATTAGTATTATCTTTCAAATGCCATTGGAATTTAACCTTTTCATTTTTTGGACTGCAAATGGGACATAGTACCTTAAACGGATAAAAGACCTTTGAATTCAATTTAAATCAATTTAAATTCAATTAAATTTATTTCACTCATTAAAAAAGAATGAACATGTTCATCATTCAAATTTTGTGAAATGTAGTTTTTGTAATTAAAGTCCCTCTCATATGTTGGGCTTTATTGGTAATATATTCTACCAGTCACCTCTTGATATAGTCCTAGTAGATCAGATGGACCCATGTAATTGAAACACTGAAATGCTAATAGCAAGAACTATGACTCACAAGGCACCAGGCAAATTGTAGATAGGAAGATTCTGATCTTTTCTGACTAACTGTGTAACGATGTATTACATCTATGTAAGTTCATATCTATACAAATAAAGTAATTCAAGATAATGATAGGCCTACACTGTACTGCTCCAACTGGAGATGTCCTTAGACAAAGGTTGCAATGATATTCGATCGGACAGCTACACCATTAATGTCATTGTCTTGTTCCACCTCTAAGGCATCCTCTTCTGCTGCAGGTAGTGGGACATCCTCACCCTCCAAAATTGGTTCTTTAAAATCTTTTGCAAGATTGAATAGTACACAACACGCTGTTATTACCCGACATATGATCTCACAGGGATGAAAGGCAATCCATGGCCTAGTAAGCATCTAAACTTGTTCTTAAGCTGGCCGTTAAGTTGTTCAATGATCGATCTTGTTTTTGCGTGTGCACTGTTTTGGAGTAGCAGAAAGGAAGAGAAGATTGAGTCTTTGAAACATTTTTATTGCTTACATGATTAATGGCTCCTTTGGCATATATGAACTGGTGAAAGTATATGAAGCATCAAAGTGATATTTATATTCTCTGAAGAATTGTTATACATGTAGTAGCAAAACAAACTTTCTTAAATTCTATTGGTAGTGGAAATTGACGTAAACGTATATCAAGGGGCTTCATGTAAGATGGTTAATAGATGTGTGAACATCTATCATTATTTAAAAAAACAAATTAATACATTTCATTCGTTTTAAATTGTTTATCATCTATGTTTGTTGTTGGTTTTTTTTTTTTTTTTTTTTGGGGGGGGGGGGGAAGTATATGAATCAACCCATCTTACTTGTTGTAGGCATTTTCCTGATCTGTCCTGGGATGAGATAGAGGGGTCATTAACCAAGGGAAAAGGGGATACCCTGAGTCCCCCAACAAAATGCCTTTGTACTGTCCAGCGGCGAACTTTCGAGCCAACTTACTGTTCTGTTAAGAGAAACGGTGATTAACATTTTATTTTAATTTTTGAGAGAAAAAAAAGAAAACAAGTTAACATGTACAACATAGAGAAAACTGCACATACTGTTAAGTATTGGTTTACGGTCATATATAAATAGATATTGACACTGATGCATCTGCATGCATATTGAAGTTAATATGAAAGATGATAACACTTTTAAAGATATTTTGGAAAGCTTTGATGTTTGGATGTTACAAATTGTGCATTTCATAACAAATTGGTGAAGTAATAATATGTGTATTTTTACAGGGGCATTCAATTACCACAATAATGGACTAATGTGTACAAAGTATGAATGTTTTTTGAAAATTAAGAAGAGAGCGTTTCAAATTTACCTCCAAGATGCGACTGTCGTGTGTACTGCCTCCCCATCTGGCTACCACGTTGGTAATGCGGAATTTTGCGTCGCACACGAGTTGCACATTGATCGAATGCCTGCTTTTTCTATTTACGAAGATATGCTCGTCGGGCTTAAGGCAGCAACCATGTAGGCAAACATGTGTGCCATCTATTGCTCCAATAATTCCAGGCAGGTGGGCGATTCCATGGAACTTGGTCATGGTTCATTTACATCTCTAGGGTTCTTTGGGAACTTGATGACCTGTCGCAAAACAGTAAAATGAAATTGTATTAATAATGTAATTACTTTTATTATTATTATAGTTAATATATATGATTAATTTAATGGATTTTCAGGTACCAGTGTATGAGGGTGATGTGTATATATGTACAGGTTTTCAACTATATATCTATTCCTCTAATATATTTAATTTATCTATACAGCTGTAAGACTAGTTCAGATATTTATGCCTTATTAAAGAATAATCTCATGGACGAACATGTACCAGTGCATAAAATGGGAGTACAGGGTATGTCTTATTGTGATTGCAATACATGTATTTGACAATTTTCTAAGCAGGTTTTTAAGTATTCATCTGTACATAAAATCACTGAAATTTAGCTGCATGAGTGTTTCTAAAACTATATTTGTGTGAGTTAGTATTTATTAGTATTTATTTCATGTAATGAATTGATATAATCTCAAGATATTTATTCTTATGAATAAAACATTGTTTCAAAATTAAAAACAAACTGTTTATAAGTTTGAATTATTGTTGTCATAAACACTGAATTATTTTCTGTCTATATGAATATTTCTGTTCTTACCTTAGTTTAATTATTAAATCTACAGTAGAGTAGTCCCATGGCAGATTGCAATAATAAGATTTGTTGACAGATTGTGTTGGTATTGTTTGACCATGCTAGTTTTCCTATTCTTTTTTTTTCTTCTTTTTTTTTTCTTCTTTTTTTCAGTTAAATAACAAAACAAAAAATATATTATTGAAAAAAGACAAACTCTCAAACATTTCACTTACATTTACATATTTACAATAAAATTTAAAAAAAACTAAAAAAACTTATAAACATATAGGCCTACACTGAAAAATAAATTTTAATAGTTCATTAAAAACCATATATCCATATGAGACTGCATTCTTTTTGTTATTGTCATATGACCCGCAAGCCGGCTAATTGTTTTAGAAAATGAAAATAAAAACTAACAAAATGTTAAAAACTTTATTTTATAAAACATCATAAATTCAGTAGCCCTCTGTATCATGTTGCCTTCATTCCTCTGTTCTCTAACTCTCCTCCATGAAATTACATGAGGCCATGCCCCCCAGCATATGTTGCAAATTACTAGTAGATCTCTAGATTTGAAAATAACTATAAAAAAAGTATAATAACGAAAACAGTGTGATCGGTACACATTGATTTGAAATCTAATAAATGATAGCCGTTAAACTATTTAGAAAGCAAGTTGTTTAAACTACATTCATACTGATTTTTCTTGAAACAAGCTTTGTTAGGAATTAATTAATTTGTATCAAATTGGCACATCAAAATTGTCCTGAATGTATAGCTAGCTTCCTATGATGATGTGTATAAACAAAATTGTAGAATCGAGTGTGTAGTACGCGGGTACGCTATACGCTACGTGTACGTGTCTGCAATGATCATCTAATGTCAACTCGTTGACCACTATGAAGAACTTAATTAGGTGAAGAGAGTGACAGGTAATCATGACTTTTTTGGTAAACCAGCTCCTAATCTACTTCAACTCTTGTTTTGGCTCGATAACTAACAATAGCTTCAAGTTAGATCTATCATATCATAGGCCTAGTAGTACTAGTAATATAGCTCCGGACGGTCCTGAAGCTTAGCCCCTTAGTTTCGGCGAGCACACCCTCCCGAACTCGTACGCGGATAACAGTCAGCGGCAGACGACCGATGTGGTCCCACTCGTAGAATTTCTCGATGGTTCGGGACAACTTTTGTTATTCGCTTGAATGTAGAAACTAGAAACCAAGTTTGTTTGAAAATTGAAAACCAAACGTCCAACAGAGAATCAGATATTTGTCCTAACTTCTAACCTGCTTTTGTCTTTTTTTTTACTTGGTTAAAATTAATGTTACAAGTGTATGACTGAGACCGAGTCTGCATCTGACTAACTTTTAGATCTAGAAAAAAAAAATTGTGGGTGTTCAAGTGATCTTTAAAAACAAGGACACTGTCACTGAAGGAAAGTAAAAAAAGTCTGTATTTTACTTACCGTTTCTTTCATTTCACATAGGACTTCCGCAACACGGTGTACAGTGCAGGATGCAGTGTTGCGGTCCACACCGTGAGTGGTTGCTGTGTCATCTAAAACTGCTCCAGTGGCGAAGAAATTTAGGGCTACAAAAATCTGTAATTGTGGTGGTAGTGCCCTGCTTCTTTGGGTCTTGTGACTCAATTTGGGTGTTAAAATGTCTATCAAGGTTATACAACCTTCTCTGGTAAATCGATATTTTCTTTCAATGTCTTTATCCCCAAATTCAAGGGGTTGTGTCCTGTCGCGAAATATTCTTGGTATCCTTCTCTGCCTCATCTCTAGTAGCTCCTCACCAAACATCAATATGGCAGCCATGATTGAAATTGATTGGGTGCACCATGGCAACCCAAGCCTGATATTGATTTCTTATAAGTTATGATTGATTGTGAATCAATCGCAACTTTACACAGAGTTACGATTGATATCAATTTTAAAGTTGCGATTGATATCAATCGTAACTTTTCATAAGATGGAATCAATATAAATTTTAAAGTTGCGATTGATTTAAGGACTTACGATTGATTCGGATCAATATCAACTCTTTGTAAGACGGGGCCCAGTACTCAAGCTGGAGTAAGAAATCAATTTAAGTGGTACTCGTCATCCGAGTAATTTGTTACCTTCGATAAAGAGTAAATCAATAACTCAACATTGAGTAAGAACTTCGTATGTGTCAATTTTGAGTAAACTACAGTTGGGTATTAGCTGTCTCGTGCATGCATGTGCGCGTGCAGAAAGATGAAAAAGAACTGAGATAGATGTGACACATTGGGAAGAAATTCTGAGCTCATGGATCGAGCTTGAAAGAGCTCCAACCGACATTTCTAGGTAAGAAATCTTCATGATAATATTAAAAGAGCTACCGTGTGATATTTAGTCAAGTTTCAAGGACGCTGTGTTGATGAACATTGTGAAATTATTGTTGTCACTGTCGGTATTGTCGTACTGTCGTATTGTTGTCACTGACTGTGAACTTGGGCAATTCTCTAAGGGCGAACGTTCATGCATTAATTTAGTGACCGGTAATTATAGCTAGCCTACTTTATTGTATTTGTATTAAACACGTATTGGCCTGGGGTAGGCCTATTGATGCAGATGGTTCTAGGACAAATCGGCCAATTACCAGCGGGACAATTACCCCCCCCCCCCCACCCCAGAAAATAACCCCCTGAAGACAACCATCCCAGAGGACAATTACCCCTATAAAATTACTCCCTAGGACTCGGAGTAGGACAACTTCCCCCCGAAAAGACATTCTTCTTTTATCAAAACAAATTAGTTGTTATCATCCTATCGAAACTTAATGCACATAAATTAACCTCTACCTTGTTAATTCCTACCATGTTAACTACATATCTAAATGTTATCATTTTAGGAAGGAACTGGCTTGGATTTTTTCTGGCCTCCTTCAGAGGAAGGAGCCAACTGTTTTTGTTGGTGCTTTGAGGAACACCAAGGAAGCCAGGACAGTGTTACGGAGTCCTCGAGAGAAGCGCCTATTCATGCTCTTCATTGACAGCAGCAGTTGACTACTGCTACAAGATGTTTCAAGTACTACAGCTGGATTACCCTGCCCAGGCAGCTGTCATATGGGACTTCTTTGATCGTCTCATTTATGGAATTTGTACCAAGGATTTTATTAAACATGGACCCTAGTACTGATGAACTAATAATGAGAGTCCTTTTTTATATGTAGTTAACATGGTAGGAATTAACAAGGTAGAGGTTAATTTATGTGCATTAAGTTTTCATTACCACCGCCACCTGATAATGTATATGTTAATGAGGACATTATTTGTCGCGACAATGTTTATTATGTAATCATGCATCATCACAGACATTCAGATACCGTCCCCCTTATGACTTTTTGGTATCCTTTCTTCAAATTTATTTTGATCACTCATGCGTGAAATATGCCACATGCTAGTTGCATTTAATCAAAGAGGAGGATCTAAGCTTTAAACATATGTGTTATTTATTAATTGTGAATAATTTATGATAAGATATCGATAATATTTTCGGTTTTGTTTTTTCTGGGACGCACTGTAAAAATATAAATCAGGAGATTCCTATAATTAAATTTTTTCTACTTGATTTTCATTGATGGCATTAATCCTTGTCAATATGTGTCAAATATTTAGCTTACAGAATTGATGCCAACAATTTGAAAGCTCATTTCGGTGATTCGATGTGTTGTAAATTGGAATTTATGTTGTAAATTAAATAGGAATTAAGTGGTGCAAAGATGCCCCCCCCCCTTGCTTCTTCAGTCAATGACAAATTGTTTCCCCTCTAGAGGGATTCCCATTGTATTGTTTCCCCTCTAGAGGGATTCCTATTGTACTGTTTCCCGCCTTATCTCTATTGAACTCTTTGCATGAGTGGATTTCTTTTGTGTGATTGCTAGCATTGGTGCATGCTATAGCAGGCAGGCAGCCATTCTAAGATATGTGATAGGACTGCAAGCACTTGTACATTTGGCCTGCTGTAGGAGGAAATGTGATCAGACTTTGTTTAAAGTAAGTTGGATTGTTTAATAATTATTATTGTATTTCATTTAACTTATTGGAATGATGATATATACATGTACACGTACCGACAAGCATTACTAATGAGAGTTTTGATGGTGAAAGTAAGATCAGTACACTCTAAAAAAAACCTGCTCAATTTGAGTAAAAATGTTACTCTTTTGGGTGGTCAAAAGGAAACCACCCGACTTTTGAGTAAACTTTACTCAGCATGTGTTGAGTAACAAATATACCCATCTGTTGAGTAAAAACATTACTCAATAAAAGACTAAATCTCTACTCATTTTGAATGAGTCAACCTTTACTCAATATTTACTCTTTGTTTAGCGGTTTCCTTTTTTACTCAGTACTGGGTAGAAACGTAATCAACTCATGTCGAGTAAGAAACTGCTCATGAGTTGAGCCAAATTTTACTCAATTAACGAGTACATGTTTTGACTCAAATTGTTTGAGCGATTTTTTTGCTCAAATATTGAGTATGTTTTCTGGGTAACGCTTAGTTGCTCAATCAATATTGAGTAAAAACATGTACTTAGTTAAGTACATGTTTTTACTCCATTAGGGGTGCAAACCGATGCAATAACAGCACCTTTAGGGGTTCAATCCTGCACCCTTTAATAGGTGCAATCCTGCACCCATCATCGAGGAATACTGGTAAAATTTGCTCGTACACAAATACATATTAAACATGCATGATGTTTCTTGGTTAGTAATCATATAATCAATATATCTATTGCTAAAACGTGAATGTAATTGTAACATGACCAGACAAAATAATATATTGGTTAATGATTGCCAAAGGAAAATACAAAATCAAAAAATTGATGTGCATTGTCATAATTTGCTTAACAAATCATGATAAATGTATTTTTATGTGAACACGTAGAAAGTAATCATGAATATGCATGCAATATGCAAACTTTTATTTTGCACCCTCTTTTGGTCGATAGGGTTCATTTTTGTGGGAAGGGTGCAAAATCTTATATTGCACCCTTTTTTTAACCCCTTTTCCTTCAATAGGGTTTATTTTTATGTAAAGGGTGCAAACTCTTATTTTGCACCCTTTTTTGCACCCTTTTTTCTAAGAGTGTATCTCAGTTCTTTCGCATCTTTCTGCACGCGCACATGCATGCACGAGACATGCACATGACGGACAATGAAAGAGTACAAAATATCCAGTTCCTTAGGTAGACAAAGGAACATACAGCTGCTATTATGTAAAAATGTGTAGAACAGGTGTCACATGCATATTGACAGCTAGTTGCACTTTCCATCGATGCAACTTTCACTCGCACCCGAGGTAAATTCGGGTAAGAGATCAATGTTGATTTATTTATCACCTGCCGCAGCGTAATACCCAACCGTAGTTTACTCAAAATTGATACAAACGAAATTCGTACTCAATGTTGAGTCATTGATTTACTCTTTATCGAAGGTAACAAATTACTCGGGTGACGAGTACCACTAAAATCAAGGTCTTACTCCAGCTTGAGTACTGAATTGCTCATTTTGTTACTCAACTTGTTTTACTCGGCACAATTTACTCGCTGACATTAAGAGTGTATAATTGAATTATGTCTTGCACTGTATTTGTATGGGAACAATGATGCTTCATTGAAATACTCTTGTTATTTATTTTGTTATATGATATATGAAGGAATTGCAGTATAATTGTGTTAAATTGAACAAATCATCCTTACAACTTTGATGAGAATAAGCTTCCTTTTATAAGTCATTGATTTTTAGTAGTATTTAGTGCCATTTGATCTTATTTCTAGGTCTGCTGTATTTCTACGAGCTGTGGATATGATACTTGGTAGCATGCATACGGTCACTGTTGTTTAGCGTTTTGGCTAGTATTGGCCGGTGAGTTGAATTTACTATGTTATGTTGCTTTATGATTATATATGTGAATGAATCAATACTATAATTTATTGTACCATATAGTTCATGATGTTGGACAGAAGAAGAAACAATGAGTGTAATTTATTTTGTGTATTTATTTTGTATAATAATGAATGGGTTGATTGAGATTTAGTTGCATGATATTACATAACAATGTCAATAAATAATATTTGTGCTGTTGGTATCAATAATATAATTGTTGATTTAAATAAGTTCAACACGATTTAAATATTTTGTTCAAATTTGATTATTATTACAGAGGCTGTTTAACGAAAAGAAAACAATAAAGTACAGACTCTACTTCACTGACTCCGGATGCATTATTTGGTCGTCATGATCTCGAACCCTTTCAGATGTAAAGTAACATTGTTTTAAAATTGAAATGTTTAAACTACATACTTTTTAATATCATGTATGATGAAGGAACTCTCAGTTTTCACTGTGATTCAAACGGATTTTGGAAATTAAAGTCCACAATTTATGTTACTGAATTTTAAATGTCGTTGACTTTATGTTATTTGCATAGTGTGAGTGAAGAACTTCAAATCAATGCTAAATTTAGAAATCAGGCAAAATTGTGGTTTATATTCTCTATTGACAAATAATGGTTACTTAACAGCTGTTAAAACAAGAACAATATTAATCAGCGGTTTAGTTAAACCCTTAGTCAAAAAGTTAAAACCCTAGTTGAATCCACCTTTGTTTTAATCAGTATTGAGTAAAAACATGTACTTAACTTAGTACATGTTTTTACTCAATATTGATTGAGCAACTAAGCGGTACCCAGAAAACATCTTACTCAATATTTGAGCAAAAAGTTGCTCAAACAATTTGAGTCAAAAGATGTACTCGTTAATTGAGTAAAATTTGGCTCAACTCATGAGCAGTTTCTTACTCGACATGAATTGATTACGTTTCTACCCAGATGCTGAGTAAAAAAGGGAACCGTTCAACAAAGGAGTAAATATTGAGTAAAGGTTGACTCATTCAAACTGAGTAGAGATTTAGTCTTTTATTGAGTAATATTTTTACTCAACAGATGAGTAGATTTGTTACTCAACACATTCTGAGTAAAGTTTACTCAAAAGTCGGGTGGTTCCCTTTTGACTACTTAAAAGAGTAACATTTTTACTCAAATTGAGCAGTTTTTATTTAGAGTGTGTAGTTAATTCGAGAGCTTCGCATGCTCACTACCGCCCTTCCTAAAATATAATCCTACCTACGCGCTTGCTACATTAAGTTCTCAAAGTTTCATCTTAACATAATATCAGCAAAAGAAAGAGGTTTACAATTCGCAATCATTGGCATTATTATATTTAACGGTAATTGGTGACTAGTCGTGTCGGTATTCGATGGCCTCTACAGCTACGTATTGCCGCTGCCCCCTCCATATACTCCATAAAGCCCTAAAACAAATACAAATTATACTAAAAATGGCGATAGTGGACGGTTCGGTTCAAAACTTATATGCCTCCTACATTAGATTGATGCAGATTGAAATGCGTTGGTTAAAGTAATTGAATTAAACAAAAATGATCATAAAGAATTCACACAAAAAAACAGAATAAAAAAAATGTCCGGAAAAGTTGTAATTACCCGCCAGTTAACCCCTCTGAAATTCGAAATAAATCCAGATAAATAAACTATAACCCAATATCTTTAGTACAATTATGTGAGTTATCGGACTATAACGACATAACCGATTATATGAGACGTATACATGGGGTTCATATCTTGCACCACTACCTCTCTGTATATAGCCTAGTTGAAAACAACCGAAAGTAGTGCTAAAAATAATATAATTTTGAAAAATGAGTCTTAATCATTTATGCCTAAATTGTTGGGGGCAAGCATGTGTGTCAATACCATATCCTCCTTGCTTCCTTGCCGTCTTTCTATACAGTTTAACAAAAGTTGATTTCTATAACATTCATCTTACTTTGTTAGGATTGTTTGATTGGTTAGGGGTGGGGCAATAAACCATTTAACGTCATTGGTGAAATTACATGACATTTTGGATTCAGAAGACGGACATAGTCTAAAAGAGTGTGGCGCCCAAAGCAATCAACAAAATTGCAGCCCCCCCCCCCCATCCCTATCCTAAACTGCTCAAACTTATCTACGGAATGACGATTGATTGCAGGACTTTCGATCAAACTGAATCAATTACAACTCTTAACGACAATTTACTGGACGTGTAGAAAGTACACCTCGTTATGGTAGACATTTTTTAAGTCATAACAAATACACCAGATATCAGGTGTTATTCTAACACTTTGATGCCTGGGTAAAAAGTGACGATGCCCAATATAACAACAAGTTCGAAATAATTAGGGGAGCTGCATTTCCTACCCAACGAACCTCATCTACGGCTTTGGGTAAAGAGGATGCGGGTGAAAGTTCTGATTCCTACTTTCAAGTATCTAGTTTTTAGAGAGTTATACCAGATTATGATTTGAATGCAGGTGTTTAATTACCTCACGATACTGGTTAATCAATTTGTCATATAAAATAAGTAATTGGGGTCAAGACATTGACAAACTTCACATTCAATTTTAACCGTATTTTGAAGAATCATTGGGGAAAAGAAAATGGAACGAGATCATACACTCTAAAAAAAAACTGCTCAATTTGAGTAAAATTTTTACTCTTTTGAGTAGTCAAAAGGGAACCACCAGACTTTTGAGTAAACTTTACTCAGCATGTGTTGAGTAACAAATCTACTCATCTGTTGAGTAAAAATATTACTCAATAAAAGACTAAATCTCTACTCAGTTTGAATGAGTCAACCTTTACTCAATATTTACTCCTTTGTTGAGCGGTTCCCTTTTTTACTCAGTACTGGGTAGAAACGTAATCAACTCATGTCGAGTAAGAAACTGCTCATGAATTGAGCCAAATGTTACTCAATTAACGAGTACATGTTTTGGATCAAATTGTTTGAGCATTTTTTTGCTCAAATATTGATTATGATGTTATATGGGTAACGCTTAGTTGCTCAATCAATATTGAGTAAAAACATGTACTAAGTTAAGTAAATGTTTTTACTCAATACTGATTAAAACAAAGGTGGATTCAACTAGGGTTTTAACTTTTTGACTAAGGGTTTAACTAAACCGCTGATTAATATTGTTCTTGTTTTAACAGCTGTTAAGTAACCATTATTTGTCAATAGCGAATATAAACCATAATTTCGCCTGATGTCTAAATTTAGCATTGATTTGAAGTTCTTCACTCACACACTTTGCAAATAACATAAAGTCAACGACATTTAAAATTCAGTATCATAATTTGTGGACTTTAATTTCCCAAATCAGTTTGAATCACAGTGTAAACATACATGATATTAAAAACCTCTTTTGTCTACATATTTCCTTTCTCTCTTCCTCACTTTGAATTCGTAATTTGTTGAGGTAGATATTCCCCTTTTCCTTCGTATTTTTGCTTTTATTTTACATTTGGTATACACAATATTTAGGATAAACATGTGCCATAATACGTGTAGTTATAATTATGTAAACGATACTGTTCTAAATTGTACTCTCGTTTTTGGAATGCAACTTATATCAATGTGCAATTCAGTAATATGTAACTGCGATGCATGATTCAATACAAATACCATACCATACTGTCACAACTGGGTAAACTCAGGTGACTTTAATTCGTGATCTAGTTAACTCTCTTATCGTCTCACAGGGAAATTTACACAATAAACAACGAATTCAAATTCTGTTAAAGTGTATCAAAGGATATCATCTTCTTCTTATCTTTATTACATTACTTCTTATCACAATAGAAATGCATATAAAGATATAAAATATATATTGAACCCAACCCTGAGGTTGTATTCTAAGATGTCACAAAATCACACATTTGTACAGAGTATCGTCACTGAAAATGGTCGTAAGTTTATCGTACGTCTGGAAATATAAATAAAATAACCCACTTTAGTGATGCAATCACTCAAGATGTGATAATAAAATATTGTTCATGGGAACAAAGAAACCATAGTTGTTACTGTTGCTGGAACTTGTCCCGTGTAACGAAGGGGTTGCTACATCTGTAATGGCACCTTCATCTCTCCTTAGTCGTTACAGGTAGAGATCCACCCATTGTGGCATGAACTTAGATACCGGACTTGCTCTGTACGTCCTAGCCGGAACACCATCTACAAATTAACATTAACCCAGGCTATTAATAGTCTACGGAATAATACTAAATTATTCATCATCTACTTAATATCTTTTAACGAGACTATAACCATCTTCAGGCAATACAATAAAATGCATTACAGAAAAGGCTTCTATCATAATGAGTTACATTGCATTACAAATATCCTTTCAACATCCAAAAGAGCCTGAATTACTGAGTGCAAATCCTGCGAACATGTACTTTCAGTTATTATTCAGAAATGAACAATATAATGTATAAAAAGTTACATTATTACTTTAGAGAAATGATTTGCAGTCTTCATTATTCATCCCTAATTCAAAGGTTCACTTGTGACCTTGACTGTCTCAATGACAAATGAACACACCCAAATGTATTATTATAAAAAGGAATACAAAAATGGATTAAACTTGGATTAAACTTACAGTTTGACTGGTTGACTGAAATGCAGAAAATCGGGGCAGGCCTCAATGTCGGTTCTGGTGATCGTGACTCTCTATGGAAATTGGACTTGCAGCGCAAAATGCTATGAAACAACTTTCATTCACCTCCAACCCATAGGTCCTATGAAACAACTTTCATCCACCTCCAACCCATAGGTCCTGCCTGTATGACTTGTGTGCAGATAGTGACACTACACTGCAAAGTAAGGCAACCCACCCACTATAGCTATGCATCACCTGTTTGAGCTACAATGTATGTAGAGTGCAGTGGAGCCTAACTACCCAATGCATTCAACCCACCCACTATAGATATGCACCACCTGTTGGAGCTACATGTGCATGTATGTAGAGTGCAGTGGAGCCTAACTACGCAATGCATTCAACCCAATGCTGTAATCTACATAACAAATAAGCGGGTAGCATTGAGGGAAAGGTTGAATCCTAACAATACCATGTACCAAAAGTATGTAGTTTAAAAATTTCAATTAAAAAAATGTTACTTTATATCGCCACATCATTCAAGTTTTTGGCATCAATTCTATGTGTTGAATACCATTAACATAATTTGTGGACTTAATTTCCAAAATCAGTTTGAACCACAGTGAAAACTCAGAGTTCTCTCATCATACATGATATTAACAAGTATGTAGTTTAACAATATTACCTTACATCGCATCATCATTCAAGTTTTTGGCATCAATTCTGAATGTTAAATATCAGTATTAAACATAATTTGTGGAATTTAATTTCCAAAATCAGTTTGAATCACTGTGAAAACTCAGAGTTTTCTCATCAATCATGATATTAAAAAGTATGTAGTTTAACAATTTCAATTTTAAAACAATGTTACTTTACATCGAATCATCGTAATGAGCTTTCAAGTTTTTGGCATCAATTATGTAAGTTAAATGTTTGACACATATTGACAAGGATTAACGCCTAAAATGAAAATCAAGTAAAATAAAAAGTTTAATTCAGTATAGGAATCTCCTGATTTATATTTTTACAGTGCGTCCCAGAAAAAACGAATCCGAGAATTATCGATATTTTATCATAACTTAATCACAATTAATAAATAACACATATTTGTAAAGCTTAGATCCTCCTCTTTTATTTAATGCAACTAGCATGATGCATGTTTCACGCATGAGTGATCAAAATAAATTTGAAGAAAAGATACCAAAAATTCATAAGGCGGACGGTATCTAAATTTCAAAGATAAAATCACATTTATATAAAGTTCATTTTATGCCCTTTAGTATGACACCTCAATCAGGAAAAATGAGCTAGGAATAAAAAGTTCTGTTTGTTTAAAGTAATGCTTGCATTTCCATAATTTCATTAAACGAACTCTTTTCCCCTGGCTGCCTGCCGTACCAACAAACATAATTGACAAAAGGCAGCCAGTGAAAACGAGGTCATTTAATCGTGGACCTACTACAAATGGACACTGATCGGTACCATAATACATGCATGCACCTGACTCTGTCAAAAGTATCATAATGACATTCCAAACATGCTTCCCGGCTTTGATCTCATCACGACCGCCGCCAGTTAGCCATAAAAAAACAGAACTATGCCTGGAACTCTAAAAAAAAATGCCTGCGCAAAAGAAGCTGAATCGCTTAAAATCACGGAAATGTATGTGCATATGAATATTAACGTATATGAAGTCTTCAATAGAAAATTAAAAGTAGTTTACACGAGAAACCTGTAAATTTGGCTGTAACACAATGATTTTAAACTTTATTTTAAAACTTATCCTATCCATTTCCAAGGAATAGAAGGTAATATGACAGTAAAGAATAAGTATTTTTCAAAGTTTTTGAGTCCAGATGTATGTCTACCATGCAGTGTCCACTTCTTTAATAATCAATCTTATATCGCACAAATTGTCAGAATTTGGGGTTCACTGCTTCTCCAACTGGTCTTAAATCACGATACTTATCCTGAAACTACACTCTGGGCCCTGGCCTAGCGAAAAGAATCTGAAGAATGTAAAAGTTCTTTTGTCTGTGATGATGCGTGATTTCATAATCCACATTGTCGCGTCAATTAAATGTCCTCATCAACATACATATTATCAGGTGGCGGTAGGAATGATGTGATCAAAGAAAGACTCTCATTATTAGTCCATCTGTACTAGGGTCCATGGTTTAATAAATTCTTGGTACGAATTCCATAAATGAGACGACAAAGAAGTCCCATATGACAGCTGCCTGGGCAGGGTAATCCAGCTGTAGTATTTGAAACATCTTGTAGCAGTAGTCAACTGCTGCTTTCAATAAAGAGCATGAATAGGCGCTTCTCTCGATGACTACGTAACACTGTCCTGGCTTCATTGGTGTCCCTCAAAGTATCATCAAAAGCAGTTGGCTCCTTCCTCTGAAGGAGGCCAGAAAAAAAGTCCAAGCCAGTTCCTTCCTAAAATGATAACATTTCGATATGTAGTTAACATGATAGGAATAAACAAGGTACAGGTTAATTTATGTGCATTAAGTTTCGATAGGATGATAACAACTATTTGGTTTTGATAAAATCGGGGGGAAGTTGTCCTACTCCGAGTCCTAGGGGGTAATTGTCCTCTGGGGTGGTTGTCTTCAGGGGGTTATTTTCTGGGGGGGGGGGCGTAATTGTCCCGCTGGTAATTGGCCGATTGCCCAGGGGTAATTGTCCTACAACCATCTGCATCAATAGGCCTACCCCAGGTCAATACATGTTTAATACAAATACAATAAAGTAGGCTAGCTATTACCGGTCACTAAATTAATGCATGCACGCTCGACCTTAGAGAATTGCCCAAGTTCACAATTAAATTAATGACATCGACAGTTACAACAATTATTTCACAATGTTGATCAACACAGTGTCCTTGAAACTTGACTAAATATCACACGGTAGCTCTTTTAATATTATCATGAGGATTTCTTACCTAGAAATGTCGGTTGGAGCTGTTCCAAGCTCGATCCATGAGCTCAGAATTTCTTCCCAATGTGTCATATCTATCTCAGTTCTTTTGCATCGATCTCTCTGCACGCGCACATGCATACACGAGACAGCTAATACACAATCGTAGTTTACTCAAAATTGACACAAACGAAGTTCTTACTCAATGTTGAGTCATTGATTTACTCTTTATCGAAGGTAACAAATTACTCGGGAGACGAGTACCACTAAAATTAAGGTCTTACTCCAGCTTGAGTACTGAATTGCTCATTTTATTACTCAACTTGTTTTTCTCGGCACAATTTACTCGCTGACATTAAGAGTGTATAACGGACAACTATAACATAAATCCCATATCAGAGTAGCGGTTTAGAACATGAATGTAACTAGGCACTAATTGCACCCACATCACCCGTGATGCCCTGGACAAGGTGAAGCGCGTTACAGAGGGAATGTGTAAATATCAAACTCCACACACTCTTGCATGCACCAAAGATTCTCGTAACACTGTGAAATGTGGAAGAGGGAAATCAATGAAACGAAATCAACTGAGATTTCCTCCACAACCGGGCTGCAACAAGCTGCTAAAAGACAACAATTAAGTGAATCTACAAGAGGCAGAGTAGGCAAGGTAGCAGCAGAGGGTGATATCATTCCAAACAAGTTATTGGGGTCAATACATCGACAAACTTCCCATGCACTTTAACCGTTAGTTATAAATAAATTATGAAGATTCCTTGGGAAAAAGAAAATGGACAAATTTGTCGATTGCAATGTAGTTCATTAATCTTGTTAGGCACAAATATGAATGTATAAAAAATGTACATATTCCTGGGGTTTCGACAATTTATCGTACAGTGGTGAAGAATACACATTCAAGTTTATTCATAAGAAATGTACATCAAGCTGAGGTGGTGAAAAGTTAGCGTAGGGTAGTTAAATATTTTATATGTATGGTATACGTGACGGTGACTTGGTGAATAGTTTCTATGATTGGTGAAGAGTTAATATTGTGACTTTTCCCGTAGTATAATAACGATAATATAATGAAGCTACCATCTTCTTCTGGATTGTAACTTCTTAACCATAAGCAATTATTATAAAGAGTCTCGAAAAGTAATGAAGTGGATTAATGCTAATAAGTTATCCTTGAATCTTCAAAAAACTAATTGTATACTGTTCAGTAATTCAGTTAATGTTTTTCCAGGCGAAGTGGTATTTAAGAGTAACTTCAACAAAATTTCTTGGGATACACATAGATGAGAAACTGAATTGGAAAACTCATGTGGACAAATTAAGTAAAGTGGTGTCAAAAAATATTTATAAGTTGAGATCATGTATACCGCAAGAAGTATTGTTCATTTTGTACTCTACTTTTATTTTATCATATATTAATTATGGTATGTTGGCATGGGGCAAATCATCCCAAACTCAAATCCACAGGCTTTTTGTTGTGCAGAAGCGGGTTATTAGAATAATTTGTAAAGCGAATTATCGTGCACATACAAATCTATTTTTTTATGAAAACGGTATTCTAAAACTAGAAGATCTCTATTCAATGCAACTTGTAATGCTCATGTTTAGCATTCACTCTGGGGACCTCCCTGCTGCCCTTGCTCAAATCTTTAAAAGAAATAACCAAATTCACAGCTATAATACTAGACAGGCTTCTGCTCTCCATTTACCATATGCAAGGACAGCCTTCACTTTGAATACACTAATGTCCACTGGCCCCAGGTTCTGGAATTCACTTAATACTACTATAACAAATACTTCAAGTATCTCAGCTTTTAAACGTAGACTTAGGTCATATTTACCTCACAAGTATGTCGATGACACATGAATGTGTTATCAAGCTTTATTTTTGGTGTACTGTAGCATATTTAACTCTACTCTCGATCTATTTTTTGTTATTTCTTGACTTTGACATAATCCCCTTTATCCCTTTTCTTTCTTATTCTTTCTCATCTGTACATATACCATATATTCCTACCTGTCGTTCTTGACCTCTGCACTCAGAGAGCAATAACTCATTAATGTCTCGATTTGGTGTCAGCTTGGGTTTGTCCATATTAGATCGACCTCCCATGGGTGGGTTGATTTTTGCTAATATGATACTTATTTCACACACACGGTGAGTTTGTTAGCTCACCCGGTGTGATGGGGATGTGTGCATCTTCCGGTATACTTGTTGTAGTCATCCATGCTGTGGTCGATGCATCGCTGGGTAGTTGTTCTCTGAGAGTATTTTGTAAATAGTTTTATATATTCCATATTTGTTGTTGAATTTATGAATCAGTTATCTTTATCACATCATATGAGGGGGCCTTAACTTAACAAGCTGTGCTTCAATCAAGGTCTCCTCGTCTTTCTCTGTTCTACATTGTTCTGTTATGATTATACTCTGTTATATTTTGTCACATGTGTTTTCTGGAAGACAAATAAACTTGATACTTGATACTTGATACTTACTACTT